GGGAGCTGGGGAGAGATAGCAAGGGGAGAGATGCCAGATGTAGGTGATGGGGAGGAAGGCAGCAAATCACACTGCCACGTGTGTACCTATGCAACAATCTTGCATGTTCTTCACACGTACCCCAAAGCCTAAAATGCAATAAAATAAATAAATGGGAAAAAAAATGGTGTAGAGATGATACAAATGGCATAAAACGAACAAAGAAAATTATGATATATAACAATAATGAAAGAAAATTATGATAAAATATGACTTAAAGATTTTTATAACATCATTTCACGGTACTGTACATATAGCCTACTCAACTTACGGCCAAATCGTGTTATGACCGGTCTGTCGGACCTAATCGTGGTCGTCAAGTCGAGCACTTGCTGTAAATACAGTTGCCAACAGCCCATACGTTTCTGAGTCTGAGCACACTGCCTATGAGTCAGCCCTGCCCTGCCAGGAGCATACCATTCAATAAGACTTCTGTCTAACACACCACCTCACCTTTCATTCTTTCCAAGAAGCCTCTGGGACTTGCCCGTCCTGTGTCAATTCCATCTTAGGTTGGGTTCTACAAGGCATCGCTGGAGGGAGGATCCCCAAGAACGTGATTGCTACGGTCTTAATTGTGTTCCCTCCCCAAATTCCTATGTTGAGGCTCTAAGCCCAATGTGATGGCATTTGAAGACGGAGCGTTTGGGAGGCAATTAGGTTTAGGTGAGCTCATGAGGGTGGAGTCCTCATGGTGGGATTAGTGCCCTAATAAGAAGAGATACCGCAGAGCTTGGTCTCTCTCTCCATCCCATGTGAGGACACGGTGGGAAGGTGGCCTTCTGCAAGCTAGCGAGAGAGCCATCACTAGAACCCACCATGCTGGAACCCTGACCTCGGACCTCCAGCCTGCAGAAACGTGAGGCAAGATGTCTGTTATTTAAGCCACGAGACGGTATGGTACTTTATCACGGCAGCCTTAGCTGACTAACACAGTGATTTAGGAGGAAGTGTTCCCACATCCAGCCTGGAGCACAGCAGGGATGCAGGACCAACAGCCAGTGCACAGGACAAGGGGAGCCCTCCATACCTGACTCAGTGTCTCGGCCATCCTTCCTTCCACCAGTGCCAGGAGCTGTCTGTGCACTGTGGAATCTGGGTAAGCCTGCAAGCAAATGAGTAGAGGTTAATACGAGGAGCACTTGTCCTGACCTCCATGTGACACTGACCCCAACACAGAGAGGCACACTCAGTGCAGTTCTCTTGGAGGTAAAGAGCTAGGCTCAGGGCAGTTTGCCCAGATTTCCTCTCTTTGTGTTGGGGTGAGAGGGAGACCCCACAAGCTCTCAGGGCTAGACTTTCCATGCCTGGGCTGAAACACACCTTTAGTGAGGAAGGAACCTGAACGTGCCTGGCCAGCAGGGTTGTCCTGTTGACAGCCTCAGTCATACCTTGCGCCCACTCAGCTACACTGCCCCTCCTTGCTCATTTTGGCTTCTCTCCCTCTGAGCCTTGCCCACTGTTCTCCATGGTGGGCTGCCAGCAGTCACCTGCTCATCTGGCCCATGTCTGTGGCTCTGGGTCTCTGTGCTGTCTAGGGCAGTGGTGGGAAACAGGCTTGGCACCTACAGGGAGGAGTGGCTACCTGGGGGCCCACCAATCCCACAACTAAATCACATAAGTCGGGGTGGCCTGGAAGCAAGGACAGCACCTGAGGCCTCACTGTCAGGGCCACGCAAGGGCAAGGCCAACACGCGACAGAGAGTGGCGATAAATGTGAGCCTGATCAGCAAGAGAAGATTTCAGAGGGGATCTCACGCAGTTGAGACCAGGGAGTTCTCAGGAGGAGGAGGGCGTAGGGCCATGGAACAGAAGGGAATTCCAATCAGAAGAAACAGCACAGGCCCTGAGCAGGGAGGGAACTTGGAGTGTCCTGTGGCTGGACCCCAAAGAGATGGGGCAGTGGGAGGGCTGGGGAGGCAGGGAGTCTCACAGCAAGTTGAGGCTGTAGGTAAGCAAAGGCAGCATGGGCTGCATAGGACCTTAAGGTCATAAGGCTGAAGACTGTATCCCAGGTGCAGTGACAAGCCATCAGAAAGTTTTAAATTAGAGAGTGACATGATACAACTTGTCAAGTCATGACAATTTTGTATGTCCATGAGGCTATATATATATACATATATATACATGTACATATACAGACATGCATATATACATGTTCATATATACATACTCATGCCTATGTACATGCTTATATACACGGACATATACACTTACGTGTGTGTGTGTGTATAATCTATGTATATATGACTTACATGTATGTGTGTATAGACATATAGTCATATACATACGCAGTTGACCTTGAACAATGTGGGGCTTAGGGCTGCTGCCCCTGGCAGTTGAAAACATGCCTATAACTTTCGATTCCCCCAAAACTCAATTAACAGTGTAGTGTTGACTGGAAGCTTTTCCAATAACATAAACAGTCAATTCATGCATATTTTGTGTGTCATATGTATTATATATTATATTATAATAAAGTAAGCTAGAAGAAAGAAAATGTCATTAAGGGAAATATATTCACTCTTCATTAAGTAGAAGTGGATTATCATAAAGGTCTTCATCCTCATTGCCTTCTCTCAGAGTAGAATGAAGAGGAGGAGGGAGAAGCGGGTGGCCTTGCTGTGCACCCACACAGTGCAAACTCCTGTTGTTCAAGGTCACCTGTATATACAAATCTACCTGGATACACATGCATACATACGGCCATGCACTGCATAACATTTCAACGACAGACCACATATGTAAGTGTTGCCCATAAGATTGTAAAGCTGTATTTTTACTGCACCTTTTCTGTGTTTAGGTGTTTAGATACACAGATACCACCGTGTTGCAATTGCCTACAGTATTTAGTACAGTCACATTCTGTACAGGTTTGTAGCCCAGGAGCAACAGGTTGTACCATGAAGTCTAGGTGTGTAGTAGGCTACACCATCTAGGTTTGTGTAAAACACTTTATGAGGTTCACACACCATCTAGGTTTGTGTAAAACACTTTATGAGGTTCACACACCATCTAGGTTTGTGTAAAACACTTTATGAGGTTCACACGATGATTAAATCACCTAATAACACATTTCTCAGACTGTATCCCCATCATTAAGCAATACATGACTGTACATATAACATGTGTACATACATAATGAAGCCACATCATACCAAAGTAAACTGAGCCACACATACTTAGCCAAAGAGGCAAGGTGTGGACCACTACAAACAGCCCTAGGGACGCTGCCTGCCTGGCTCCCAGTGCTGGGAGCACTTAACTGGAGGTGCTGTCCCTCAGTCTGTTTAGCTCCAGGGGCCTCTCAGAGGAGGACCCTTCAAATGTAGTCTCCGTACAAAGTACCCTCACACCCGATGCTCACTGACCAAGCCTGGGGCTCATCCCGGGTTAGAGGAAGACACCATGTCCATCTCCAGCCTGGCTCCTTCCCGAGGTAGACTCAGGGGTGATTTTGCCTCAAGCCAACTTCAGGTCCTAATCCCACACCACGCATGGCTGCACTGTGGCCGGGAGAGCACCATCTCTCCTCTCCGGGCTTCTGTGGACTTAGCCATTGGTTTCACTCTGTCCCCAGGGCCTACAACTCCTCAAAGATACTTCAGCCAGAGTATCTGAATTTTATTTTCACTATGTACGAATTATTCAATAATAATATTGAACATTATTTGTATAGTACAGTAGAAAGTGGTTTACATCTTTATTAGTCTCCCACACAACATGTGAATTTCGGATGCCATGCTAATTTGCTTTTACGAAGCTCGAATGAAGCTTTTTGTCCCATGTTTCTTTAATCAAAGAGAATCCCAATATTGTAAACGGAGCTATTCAAAAACCATTAATATTTGAAACTGCTTGTTCATGTATATCAAAATTTTCTTGATACTTTAAAAACCAGTTTATAATAATATAATGGAATGAATTATGTGCTAAGTTAGCATAAATTTGCAAACTATATCCACAACATTCAACTTCCTTTTGTTTACATCAGAATCATTATTTTTATTGGCTATTTTGGTAATAGGTGTGTGCTATCAATGTCATTGCATACAAAATTAGTACTTAGATGTTTTATATATAATAGAGTTATTTATACGATCTCATTTGAGAAGAAGAATTCTGCTGTAAAACATATTTAGAAAAAAAATGTCCAGATGATCTCTAAGACCCCCTTAGCTTAAAGTGTCTATAGGTCTGCGACAAAGTGCTACAGAAAACTCAGCCTATGATTGAGGTCTTACCAACTCAACAGCAAAAGAAATTTGCCAGCGACTGAAAAGCTCTTCTGCCCTCAAGTCACAGGATAAATGTACCTTAACTACTTCCAAGCCCTCTTCCACTTCCACTTCTCCTTCAGTTTGTTTGGATGTTGGGCACATTTTTTTTTTTAATCACCTCTTCCCTTCCACATTTCCAATTTTCAAGGCTTTCCACAGCTTTTAGACAGAACAATATTAAGGTAATTTTTTTCACAATAACACCTACATCTGTACTTATGGGAGTAGAATATATGTTTTTCACACCTGTTGGCTCAAAGAGCTCTCCATAACCTTTAAATTAGAGAAAGATGAAATATTTACTGATTTCAAATAAATCGCCAAAGGATGTAACTGGCTAACTAGAAATTCTTGCAGTCATATTGCTTTTCATTTTTGTACTGAAGGTATAGTAATTCTAATGAATGTAGATATTCATAGTAGAAACCCATGAACAAGTTTCACAGTTGCTTTGTGAAGAAGGAACATGAGAATATTAGATTTGCAAGCTCTATCTTGAGTCCACAAACACCCAGTAAGGTTTCCTTTGTGCCACGGCCATGCCCTGAATACAAACAGACGACACACATCACTCCTGGGACCCAGGCTCAGCTACAGAGCTCTCAGGCCTCAGTGCAAGATGAAAGTGTGAGGCCCTTTGTTCAAAAATTAAGAATTTCAAGATGGTGACAGTAGAACATTAAACCAAGCAGGGGTTCTTTAGAGCAGGAGGCCCTGTGCCATGGTGTAGGTTCCATGTCCATGCTGCTAGCCCCACCATGTCCAGCTGCATGGACATGGAACCCAGTGTTCATCGATGCAGGAGCCCTTCAGTGATGGATTTGGGGCATCGTCTTTGTGTAAAGAAGAACAGCATGTTTACATCTTTGCTCAGATGCTGTCTGTGCACAAGCATGAAATTGTAGAGATCTTGAATTTATTTTAGAAGCTTTCCCTCATAAAAATTGGGTATGATTCCATGGCTCTTTAGACCTTGAATATCTCTTTTAATTCTATATTGGAAAAGTAAATTTTTGTTAAATAATGTCTGGTTAAACTGGTGAGGTCCAAATAACGATTGCTATTGATACCTGTACTCATACTGTTGTGCCAAAGTCCATTTTCTGGTTTGATCATGGAGTGGGTTACATAAGATGATATCCCTGGGGGACCCCCAAGAACTCTCCATACTATTTTTGCAACTTCTAATTAATCTAAAATTATTTTGGAAAAAAATCATTTCACAAAGTAAAGCAATACGTATGTAGAGTATATGAAGACACCACACAGAGGGGAAGTCAGGCCTCCCTTTGGCAGGAAGCATGTAGTCACTGGGCTGGAATTTGGTCAGGGTCAAACTCCTGTGCTCTTAACTTTATAGATGATCTCTGGTGCCCTTAGAAGGACACGAGAAAATGTGTCTATTTGTGGATGTTCTAAAAAGTGTTGTCTTTGATCAGGACCATCCAACAGCTCTATAAAAAACAGCCACCACCAATAATAATAATACCTAGTCCTATAGATGGAAATAGAATTGTGTGGAAAAGGCCCAACTTCTCATATTTTAATTGACTATGTGTCTTTTTCTGAAGGTATCACAGAATCTTCTAGAAGGGCCCTCTCTCAAGGGAACCTACTGTCAGTCACTAGTGAGATGGCCGCCGCAGGGAGCAACCTTCTGGAACTCACCCAACTCCCCAGAGCAGAGCGTGCTTGGGCTGGCCTACTCGGTGCAGACAGAGGCACTTCCTAGAGATCCTAGGGGGAAAATGCTGATTTACTCAAAAGAGAATGCATTTCTCTCCAGCTGGAAACAAGGTGGGCACGTGTGAGCTCCCACCCCTTCCCCTTGCTCATATACTCATAGGCAAACACAAATTAACACGATGAGAGGGAGGACAAGTGGCAGTGGAAAAGGAGAATGAAGAGAGGCAGGGAATTAAAGGGCAGGTGCAATGGAACCGCCTGGCCGGAGGAGGCTGCAGTGTGAAGACGCTAATGTTCTTTCCGCAACAGACACCTGAAAACTGCACAGGCACGAGGACGAGGTCTAGAAGGCGACACTCACAGGTGAAACTGTTTAGATGTAGGGATAGGATTGTGGGCATTTTCTGCTTTGGGTTTCTATTATTTTAATAGTGACCCCTCAATAATGAAGCTAAATTTCAAAGGAAATAAAGCAGTCAATGAACCTTGACAGTGGTCTCATTGAAGATATTTCATGCTATGCAGCAGATTTTAAAATATGGGGCTGCCCCGTAAATCGTAAGTGATGGCGTAACTTAGAGAAAGTGTGTGAATGGCAGTTTGCTTAAGCAGTCACCACAGGTGCACTTACTGGAACATTCACAGGACACTGAAGGGAACCCAGAGATACACCAAAACCTAGAAGCCGGAGGCCTGGTTTCCTCCCCTGTAAAACAGGGAAGCAAGATTGCCCCACCACTCACACACCCCGTGGGTTCTGGTGAAAATTCAATGAGATGTTGCATGCAAAGTGCATAGGGTCCCTCAGGGCAATGCCTAGGCCTCTAGAAGCAGGCTGGCTCAGAGGAAGGAGAGAGAAGGCTCCCAGCAGCCCAGGAGGCAAGTTTGTAAAAACTAGAAAAGGTAACCCTCCCCCCAGAAGCACGAATTAGCAGTCAGAATGCACAGCGAACCCAGCCCTGCTCGCTGCCCTGGCCAGGCACATGCTCATTTACGGCAGGCCTTGGTCGACTTTCTGTTTTCAAAGTAGGGGACACCTATGACTGACAGAAGGGAAGATTTAGCTACTTGGGAAACAATTTTAAAGAACACTGATTTGCATGGTGAGAAAATTATTCCCTTTCTAATTCCGTTTCCACATCCCAATGACATCCAGGAGGAAGAGTCACTCTGGCGCTGGCCTGGCTTCCATGCTCTGCCTTCCTTTAGACGGGCCCCCAGCCTTTGGCAGTGACATCATCCACCCAGTCATTGTGCCCTAATTCTTTTGTGTCTATTTTCACACTTGCCTGCTCTTTATATAAGTAAAACTGTTTTTATTTACGGTTGAAATATAAAACTTCCTACTTAAATAAATGTACTTAATGTGGACACACGCCCATTTTAAGAAAAAAGTGTTTTAAGAAATACGCTAGTCCAAGTAGCAGCTGCATGTGGCAAAACATGATCATATGGCGCTGGACACAGTGATATTTGGAAGCACTGGGTCATCTGATGCCGTAGCAAAGATGAAGGAACTTGGCCACCGAAAGGCAAGGGTGTGTTACGCTACGGGAACCATGGGGCTTTTCAAGTGGGGGCTGGGTCACTGACTTGCAAAAGGACCTCCCTGGATGTGGCACTGAGGGAGCATCCCGGGTGTTCCTCATCAGGGAAACAGGAAAGTCACTTCTCTGTTTGAAATCCAGAAGCAAGTAAGGAGCATGTTACCTTAGCTCCCTGTGTGGCTGTCGCTGCAGCCATGCAAATCAGCAGAGCCGGCCTCTGGCCTTCAACATCTGACCATGTCTGTAGAACACAGAGGAAGAAATATGAGAGGGGCTGAAACAAGAGACTGCAGAAATAAAAACAGAAGGAAAGGAATGGCATTTTCTCCAAAACACATTGTATCTATGCCGACACAGAAGAAGTCCAGACTGTAAAAAAGACACCTAGCCTAGAAATCTGGACGACTTATGTGGGTAAAAATGTTATTTTTGTTTGTCTTTTGTAATTGCTCACTGGGAGGTTAAGCTTCTCATGGTTCAGTGTTCCACATAAACTGATGGTAAAAGACTTGTTTCAGGAGCCCTCAGAATCTAGAAGCTCATATTTTTCTAGGGCTTGCGGTGACGGCTCTTGGGGGTCACCACTGTTGCATGGTATTCTGTACATTCTCCCATTTGTTTATCACCCAACATATATGTTCACAGAGGGACTCATGTTGATGGCTGCTGGATTTATGTTGGCCAAGGGCTCATGAGCTTCCTGATATGCAGGGAAGGCATCTACACCGTCCCATAGGTCATCAGATGGCATCCCTATAGTTTAGCAGCAGAATGTGACAATGTGTGTGCAGCTAGTGGTGATGTCTTAGATGGAGTCTTCCCAAGAGCACAGAATGTCCCTGGTGAGTGGATATGCAGTGTAGGCTGGTGTATTTGTGCAAGATGGATAGAGGGTAAGTGCACCTAGAGATGGTTTTGTTCACCAACGTTACAAAGACATAATCAGTAACCACTGCTGATAATGCTAATATTAGCAGCCGCCCCTTATTGCATGCCTGTGAGTGCCAACATTTTTACATGTATTATTTGATTAAAGCATCCAATAAACCTAAGAGGACTATCAAGCTCACTTTATATATGAAAGCCAGAATCTGTTAGATTATGTAACTGATCAATCACAGATTTGGAATCTGTGGATCCAGGTCTGTTGGATCCTACTTCTCAGAGCCCTAAGAAACTAAAGCAGGAATGGAAATGTACCTTTGGCTGTGAGTGGGAAACAAGAGGAAGATCTGCTGGAAAGAGAACAGAACAGAGCCCCTTGCACTGGATGAAGCTCTCTTGTCCCTCTGGCATAGCTGGTCTTTGACCAGTGCCACCATGCCATCAAATCCCCTCCAACCCTCCTGGTCTGAGCATCACACGGGCCAAGGTTCCTTTCCATGCACACTGCTTCCATAGCAGCTTTCTCTTTTCCAGGAGCCAGTCACAAAGCTGCCAGGCGAGGGGGTACCCAGGGCATCACCTCTGCCCCTTTCATCTCTGCTACAACCTGAACCAGTGCTCAGGGAGTGCGACATTCCTGCCAGTCTCCCCCAAGCTCAGCAGCCCTCACTCCCTCCCACCTAGAAGGAGGTTGAGGCACAGCCCTTGGGCCTGGGAACCATTTCTGTTTTCCTTCATGGTTGAGCCTCTGAGCCAGTGGAACTGTCCAAGGCAAAAAATTCTACTGTTACACAAAGGCTGCCGTTTGTCCAGATGGTTTTCTTCTTAAAATTTCACAACAAATCAAGTTTGCTGCTGCTCTCACATTTAGGATGGGGGGATTCCTTCCAGGGGACTTCACAACCTAGAGAGTTTGGACCTTGCTCCTGCTTCCTCACCCACACCCAGGAAGGGCTCACAGGAGGGTGCGCAGGCACATATCTGTAGAGGGGCCTAAGCAGCTGCTCCCTTCCTTCCTTCACGCCGCAGGGAAGACAAAATGCAAAGAACCCTGGGAGCCTTGGGTGAGCACCAGTTTCTTCAATCCAATGTTTTTGAGAAAAATCTCTCTAATTACATGAGCATCATATCAAAGTTCATTGGAGTATCTTTTTCCCTCAAGTGTCTCATTTCATTCAACAAATCTCTCTCTTCCAGGAAAAAAACCATTGGTGGAGATGTAAGATGGGGTGACTGAATCCTCTGTGTGTGTGTTTTTTTTGACATTTCTTTTGTGTTCATTTCCTAAGTCAACCACTTAATTCTAGATAAAGACAAACAGGAGAGCTCACAGTGCTTTCATCTCTTTGTCTGTCTAACCCCAGCCCAGGGTTGCTGCAAGGATGACTAAACTAAGGTAGGGCTTATTTCGGAAGCAGCAGATTTGAAAAGCCAGTGGCTACTGGCCAATCAGTGGGTCAGGCCTTGTGTTAGGTGCCTTCATAGGCATCCTCTCTGATCCACAACCTATCTGTGAATTTGACTTTATCCTCTCAGTTCACAGAGGAGGATGTGGGATTAAACAACGTAGCTAATGAGATGCAAACGCAGAAACAGAGCCCAGGCTTTCCTGGTTGACCTCTGCCAGGCAAGGAGAGAAGAACAGGTTCTGCCACGCCCTACCAAAGGCCAGGGCCAAGAAGCCAGCTCAGATCATTCAACTAGTGAGCCTAATACCATCCCATTTAGGGAACGTCTACCTAATAAAAATCACTTTTCCCCTGAGCACATTTTCTCAAACTCAGCACTTTGGAGACTGGGCCAGAGAATTCTCTATGGCAGAGGCTGTCTCGTGGCTGCAGGATGTTTAGCAGCATCCCTGCCCTCAACCCACTAGATGCCAATAGCACCCCTAACCGTGACAATCAAAACTGTTTCCAGGCAGTGGCAAATATCCCTACGGGGCAAAATTACTCATGGTTGAGAACCACTGATCTAAAACAATAAGTTCATCTACCTGAGTTAGATAGCTTTTGCAGGCATTTTTTTCCCACTTGCTACTCAAACATGGGTAAGAGTGAAGTAAGAGGCGGTACAATAGTGAAAAAACATGTGCTATGTGTCTGTGTATTACTGAATTCCTTGCCATAAGACACAAAGCATGAGTCTCCACTACCTGGGCTGAAGTGGCTTTGCTCTCCTCATTATACGCGACCAGTGTTTGGTGGCCTTTGCCATTGGAGATTGAGCATCCACGCCTCTTGGATTCAAGCACAAAACAGTATCGCAGCAGGAAAAGCGGAGCCACTGTGATAAGACAAAAGGGGAAAACGGATTAGACAAGCTCACTCATATCAGAGGTTTCATGAGGGTCTTGTTCTGTTTAATTGATAACTCAGCCATGAACTGGCAAGGCCAAATTGCATCTTAGTCACCTGTGTAGCCACCAAGTTTAGCACACTTTGGGGTCACAGGTAGATGCTACAGAACTGTTTGTTGAATTAATCAGTAATACTATCTGGCCTAGTAATACTGTATTGTTTCTTGGAAAAACTGCCTTCTTATTAGCTTTGCCAAGTCCAGGAGCCTGGATATCTGGATATTGCCATCCCCATGGCTATTACAAAGGGCCACTCCTTGACTGTGTTTACTGATGGATTCCATCGCGAGGAGAAGCTACTTTTGCTGACCAGGGGTCTCGTCCGGCCAGCATGGCAACCTCTGATCTGCATCTAGGAGGCTGAGTAAACCCAGAAGTCATCCTTCAAGCCATTCCACCAATCCTGCCACTGGCTGTCTCCTGCCCCAGCAAACTCCATACCCCTGGCGTATTGCCTGGGGAGAGGAGCCACGGTCCCAGGACACCCCTGCAGACCACTGACCTGCCAGAGCCACAAATGCTGCACACACAGGGGACAGAACCCCCACAAGAAGCCCCACTCCTGCATCTGCATGCTCCACACACGTGAGCCCACTGGCACAGGGGCAGACCCCCACATGGACAGTTTGCTTCTGGGAAAGTCCCTGTTTGTCGCCAATGAAGAGTGGCACTAAGTAATTACCATGTGGCAGGCTCCTCAGGATTAAAAGTTCAACTGACTGACCTGCAAAGGAAAAAAGAATGTGGCATGCATTGACTCACTCATCTGTTCATCTGCTTAATGCATGCTTACTAAGCACCCTGCACAAGCCAAGCTCTGTACAAAAGTAATCCCACTGCAGAGTTGGAGAGAGGGGTCCCCAATAGCAACCTTACTTCTGACACCAACTGCAAGTTCAGGGATTCCCAAGATCACCTTCAGGTTCAGCAATTCTCTAGAAAGACTCACGGAACACACTGGAAGTTGTTTTAGTGATGGCACCATTTTCTACAGGGAAAAGATCTAGATGAAAATCAGACAAGGAAAAGGGCACCTAGGGCAGAGTCCAGAAAAGCACCAACTACAGAGCTTCTCAACATCCTCTCTTGAGAAGCCAGGTCAGCATGGATGAGGGACACACACATGGGATGCTGGCAGCAACCTGGTGGGCCTCCCAAGTGAGCGGCCTCAGTCTCCAGCCTCTCTGGTAGTCGACTGATACTATGTGACCAGAAGTCCCCAATCTAAATCACATTGACCCTATCAGGCTCAGCCCAAGACGCCCCAGGTAAAGAGACACTTGTATCAGACGTGATATCCCAAGGGCTTAGAGATCACCCAGACCGCATGGACAAAGACCACACCTCTCTTTGGGCAAGATGAAGTGCTTTACTACATACTTCAGATCTGGGAGCTATAAACATGAGCACACAGTGTCAGCTAAAACCATGCCACAGTCTACAGATCCCACAGATAGAGGCACAGAGGAGAGTGCTGACAGTGGATGCCAGCTGCTTTTCACCTGCTCAGCATGTTCATCTTCTGGTAACAGTGCCCAGTGTTTCTCTGGGGAAGCCCACACTTCCTGAATTCTCAGTATGAAGCAGGAGAGGCTGAGCCCAGATCTCTACAAGGTCCAGGTGTGGGCTGGGAGCCAGCCAATCAGCATATCTGCCCTCCCAAGTCCCATCCACAGTGATTGACAGGGCATCTGACCAAGGCCAAACAGTGACATCAAACCTGGAGCTTTCCTGGAAACACCCTTCTTGCCAGGTGCGAGGATGTGTCTCAGGGACTCCCAGCAGCCTCCTACCCCTTGATGAGGTGAGCTTACTAAAACTGAAGGAACCCAGAGAAAGGTAGACCGTGTGTGGGAAGGTGGCTTCCAGGGATGTCCTTTGAGCACCTAGTCTGCCAGAAAACAGACTTATCTGGCTTTTTAAGCTAATAAAGTCTTTTTTTGCCTAAATTTCTTTGAAATGGATGTATTTCATTTTCCACTCTTTGCCCCTGACCAATACACTCACCCCAATTTTTCCCCAACTTCCACGTGTCCTCTGCATTTCCCCAGGTGTTGTCCAGTTCAGATGTAAATGGGTCCGAGAAGGGCTCCAGGTCCGGATCCTCTGCCTCGACGTGGAGGGGCTCATGCACGGCAGACTCACAGACCTGCATGTAGCGGGAATGGGGCGGGAGAGTCGGGGCGTTGTCATTGGTGTCAGACAGGAAGAGCATTAGGGTCCCCGTAGCAGTCTGCGGTGGGAGGCCTTGTAAAGGGAGGAAGTTCCAGGAGGAGTTGTTTATTTCATGCACACAGAGCCCTGGAGAATGAGCACTTTCTATCTCTCAGAAAAAAAAAATATTCCTGAGATACTGGAACTGTTTCCCTTTCAAAGTCATAAGCTCTCCTAGCATGCACGTGATCTGTTTTCCTGCCTTTATGAACATTCAGAATATCTGGGTAAGGTAAGCTAATAAAACAGTGGCCACCTTAAATAATTTGTAGAACACATAGAATGAGGCATCATTAAACAAACAAACAAAAGGTCAATCAACGGTGCCAGGCATCAAGGATGGGTAGGGTGGGGAAAATGGCTGTGACTAAAGAAGGGCACCATGGGGGTCCCGTGGGGAGGGAAATGCCCTGCTTCTCTGCATCGATGTCCTGGTTACAAGGTTAAACTGTAGTCCTGCAAGGTGTTGCCCTGGGGGAAACTGGCAAAGGATACTCAGGATCCACTAGATTATTTCTTAAAACTGTAAGGGAATCTACAATTATCTAAAAGTACTTTTCCTAATGAAAAATGTGGCAATCATCAATTCACAACTGCAAATATGGCATACTTACACTACGAAATACTACTCAGCCACAGGAAAGAATGAAATAACGTTTCTTGCAGCAACGTGGATAGAGCTGGAGGCCATTCCTCTAAGTGAATATGTAGCCCAGCTTCCCTGGGCTGGGGAGGGCACACGAGCTCAGGTCAATGGGACTGTAAAGGACACATTTGTCATGAACCAGGATGGGTGGTTTTATAAGCATGTTTCAGCACTTTTCTCTACACTCTCCTAAGGCTGAATCTTTAAACACACCAAAACAAAGCTGAAGAAATAAAAATGTTCAAATAACTTTAGACTTGTATTCAAGAAAGTCTGTGAACTAAAACCCAAGCTCCGAGTGATACATAAATATACGTTCCACTCTGTAATTAACTAGTGGAACCAAATACTCTATGTTCTCACTTGTACGTGAGAGCTAGCTATAGATACACAAAGGCATAAGAGTGATATAAGGAACTCTGGAGCTTCAGAAGCAAGGAGGAGGGAGCCAAGGGCTAAGAAACCTCACGCTGGATCCAACGTGCCCCACTCAGGTGGCCAGTGCAGTAAAACCCTAGACTTTACCACTGCACAGTTCATCCACAGAACCAAAAACCACTTGTACCCCAAAGGCTTTTGAAATACAAAAAAAAAAAGAAAGAAAGAAAAAAGTGCCAATCATAAAATCATCCATCGCAGAATCATGGAGCCCGGAAACATTGATCCCGCTTTTTCTCCTTCCTTCATATGGATTAGGAACATGTTTCATATCTCCATTGCCCCCACCTCTAACATTCCACTAGTTAATTACAGAGTGGAACGTATAGTGAAATATCACTTGGAGCTTGGGTTTTAGTTCACAGTCTTTCTTAAATACAGTTTTAAAGTTATGTGAACATTTTTATTTCTTCAGCTTTGTTTTGGTGTATTTAAAGATTTAGCCTTAGGAGGGAGTAAAGTGCTGAATCATGCTCATAAAACCACCCATCCTGGTTCATGACAAACATGTCCCTTACAGTCCCATTGACCTGAGCTCGTGTGCCCTCCCCAGCACAGGGAAGCTGGGCTACATATTTATCACACATCATTGGCTTTGACAAAGAACTAAAGAGTTAGCTCATGAACAGATGAAAAAGATGTCGGGTTTGATTGCAGCTTCCTTGCTGGTTTAATTGTCTCTTCTGAATGAATGCTGCCCTCTTTCGATGGTATTGCTCCCTCGTTTACCATTTAAAGAATTATTACCAAAAATAATCACCAGCCTGGATGCAGAGTGATAACAAGGTTTATTTTATCTTTTTCTCAGCTGCGCTGAAAGACTCTCATGAGGGTTATTTTCCCGCAGGAAGCAAGAATGAGCATTTTATTTTTCCAATTTTGGGTAAACACTCACCATCATCAACAGCGTGAACAATGATCATATAAAAACTGTCATTTACAGGAGGGGCTTCTCGGTCAATTGACTCCACGGTGGTGACCACTCCAGAGTTTTAATCAACACTGACCCAATTTGCTGGGTCATGAATCAGTTTATATCTTGTAGAAGGAAAACGGACAGCAATTGTTAAAATTAAAAAGGTACATCAAAAGATGTAAAAAATTACATCAAAACACCAAAATATTTCTGGAGTTGAGGTAGCAATTAATAGCCAATCAACAAAAAAAAGTCCAGACCCAGACAGTTCACAGCTGAATTCTACCAGATGTACAGAGAGGAACTGGTACCATTCCTTCTGAAACTATTCCAAACAATACAAAAAGAGGGACTCCTCCCTAACTCATTTTGTGAGACCAATATCATCCTGATACCCAAACCTGGCAGAAACACAACTGCAAAAGAAAACTTCAGGCCAATATCCATGATGAACATAGATACAAAAACCTTCAATAAAATACTGGCAAACTGAATGCAACAGCACATTAAAAAGCTTACCCATCACGATCAAGTAGGCTTCATCCCGGGGATGCAATGCTGGTTCAACATATGCAAATGTATAAATGTAATCCATCACATAAACAGAACCAAAGACAAAAACCACATGATCATCTCAATAGATGCAGAGAAGGCCTTTGACAAAATTCAACAGCATTTTATGCTAAAAACTCTCAATAAACTAGGTATCAATGGAACATATCTCAAAATAATAAAAGCTATTTATGACAAACTCACAACCAACACTGGAAGCATTCCCTTTGAAAACTGGCACTAGACAAGGATGCCCTCTCTCACCATTTCTATTCAATACAGTAGTGGAAGTTCTAACCAGAGCAATCAAGCAGGAAAAATAAATAAAGGGTTTTCAGGTAGGAAAAGAGGAAGTCAAATTGTCTCTATTTGCAAACGACATAATTGTATGCTTAGAAGACCCCATCATTTCAGCCCAAAATCTCTGTAAGCTGATAAGCAACATCAGCAAAGTCTCGGGATACAAAATCAATGTGCAGAAATCACAAGCATCCCTATACACCAATAACAGATGAACAGAGAGCCAAATCATAAGCAAACTCCCATTCACAATTGCTACAAAGAGAATAAAATACCTAGGAATATAACTACCAAAGGATGTGAAGGCCGTCTTCAAGGAGAACTGCGAACCACTGCTCAAAGAAATAAGAGAGGACACAAACAGATGGAAAAACATCCCATGCTCATGGTTAGGAAGAATCAATATCGTGAAAATGGTCATACGGCCCAAAGTAATTTATAGATTCAGTGCTATCCCCATCAAGCTACCATTGACCTTCTTCACAGATCTGGAAAAAACCACTTTAAACTTCATATGGAACCAAAAGAGAGCCCACATGGCCAAGACAATCCTAAGCATAAAGAACAAAGCTGGAGGCATCACGCTACCTGGCTTCAAACTATTCTACAAGGTTACTGTAATCAAAACAGCATGGTACTGGTACCAAAACAGAGATATAGATCAATGGAACAGAACAGAGGCCTCAGAAATAATGCCACACATCTACAGCCATCTGATCTTTGACAAACCTGACAAAAACAAGCAGCGGGGAAAAGGTTCCCTCTTTAATAAATGGTGTTGGGAAAACTGGCTAGCCATGGGCAGAAAGCAGAAACTGGACCCCTTCCTTACACCTTACACTAAAATTACTCCAAATGGATTAAAGTTTTAGACATAAGACCTAACACCATAAAAACCCTAGAATAAAACCTAGGCAATACCAATCAGGACATAAGCATAGGCAAGGACTCCATGACTAAAACATCAAAAGCAACAGCAACAAAAGCCAAAAGAGACAAATGGGATCTAATTAAATTTAAGAGCTTCTGCACAGCAAAAGAAACAATCATTAGAGTGAACCAGCAACCAACAGAATGGAAAAAAATTTGCAATCTTCCCATCTGAAGAAGGGCTAATATCCAGAATCTACAAAGAACTAAAGCAGATTTGCAAGAAAAAAACAAACAAGCCCATTCAAAAGTGGGCGAAGGATATGAACAGGCACTTTTCAAAAGAAGACATTTATGAGGCCAACAAACATATGATAAAAAGCCCAACACCACTGGTCATTAGAGAAATGCAAATCAAAACAACATTGAGATACCATCTCACGCCAGTTAGAATGGCGATCATTAAAAAATCTGGAGACAGTAGATGCTGGAAAGGATGTGGAGAAATAGGAACACTTCTACATTGTTGGTGGGAGTGTAAACTAGTTCAACCATCGTGGAAGACAGTATGGAGATTCCTCAAGGATCTAGAAATAGAAATACCATTTGACCCAGCAATCCCATTACTGGGTATATAGCCAAAGATTATAAATCGTTCTATTAGAAAGACACATGCACATGTATGTTCATTGCAGCACTGTTTACAATAGCAAAGACCTGGAACCAACCCAGATATCCATCAGTGATAGACTGGATAAAGAAAATGTGGCACATATACACCATGAAATACTATGCAGCCATAAAGAAGGATGAGTTCATGTCCTTTGTAAGGATATAGGTGAATCTGGAAACCATCATTCTCAGCAAACTGACACAAGAACAGGAAACCAAACACCACGTGTTCTCACTCATAGGTGGGTGTTGAACAATGAGAACACATGGGCACAGGGAGGAGAACATCACATACTAGGGTCTGTTGGGGGATGGGGGACTAGGGGAGGGACAGCGGGCTGGGTGGGGAGGTTGGGGAGGGATAACACTGGGAGAAATGCTGGATGTAGATGATGGGGGGATGGATGCAGCAAACCATCATGGCATGTGTGTACTTATGCAATAATCCTGCAAGATCTGCGCACGTGCCCGAGAGCTTAAAGTACAATTAAAAAAATAAAATAAAATAAGAAAAGGCTCTCTATCGGTGGTGTTGAAAGATATAGGTGATGGGGAGAAAGACAGCAAATCACACTGCCACGTGGGTACGCAAGGTTCTTGCATGTTCTTCACATGTACCCCAAAACCTAAAATGCAATAAAAAAATTAATTAATTAATTAATTAAAACAAAAAAAGAAAGGGAGCCTCAATCAGCATCACTGGCATCCTTGGGAGATTCTTAGAAATGCAAATCTCAGTTCTGGCCCCTCTCAGACCTCTCAATCAAACTCTAGGGGCGCTTTAGAAACCAGCCTGGCCAACATGGCGAAACCCTGTCTGTGTTAAAAATGCAAAAATTAGCCAGATGTTGTAGCATGTGCCTGTAGTCCCAGCTACTCAGGAGGCTGAGGCAGGAGAATCATGTAACCTGGGAGGTGGAGGTTGCAGTGAGTTGAGACTTTGCCACTGCACTCCAGCCTGGGTGACAGAGAGAGACACCATCTCAAATAAATAAATAAATAAATAAATAAATAAATAAATAAATAAATAAAATTCTAGTGGTGGGGCCCAGCAATCTGCATTTTAACAAGTTCCCCCAGAGACTGATACACACTATAGTTTGACAGCCACCTCTTAAGAGCCATGCTAACTCAAGACGCACCACTGTGCACCAGAAGGGGTCTGTGAACTCTGGTTAGCTGCTCACGAGATAACTGCAATAATGAAGAGCAGGCGTTGAGAAGCTCTTAGAGTTGTCAGCCTTGCTGTGTCCCCCAGCACATGACGATTTTTCTAGTAATTCAGTTTCATTAGATTTTGCAAACTGACCACACCATCATAAATTGTAAAATTTTTTAAAAGCCTAGCCTTTCCCAACAGAGAAACTGAGAAGTATTGCTGTAAGGGGAGGAATCTCACACCAGAGGGTGGACAGGGGCAAGCAAGCACTAGAAATGAGTGGAGCCAGCGGAATGGGGCCTGGGGCTGACTGCTGAGCTCGGCCAGGAGAGGGAAGGGGCATCATGACACGTGACCCCACTCTGTCCCCATGATCATGATCTCATGGAACACAGACCCAAAAATGCCAAGTTCTTTCATTTCTTCAAGAACATCAGGAGATTCAGGCCATATGCAATCCAAGTGCCCATCAATGGATAAGTGGATAAACAAAACTGTGTCAATACCACATATGCATATTCAGCATCAAAAAGGAAGGAAGGAAATTCTGATACATGCTAAACGTGCATGGACATTGAGGATATTATACAGAGTGACATAAGCCAGTTACCTAAAGACAAATGTCATATGAATCTACTTCACAAATTACCTGGAGTCATCAAATTCAGAGGGACAAAAAGCCGAATGGTGGGGGCCAGGGGCTGGAGAAGGAGGAATGAGGAATGAGTGATGAATGGGGACAGAGCTCCTCTTTTGCCAGATAAAAAGAGCTCTGGCGATGGATGGGGGCGATGGCTGCACAACACTGTTAATATACTTAATGCCCCTGATCTGTACCCTTCAAAAATGGATAAAATGGTAAATTTTCCACAACTTCCTAAAAAAAAAAAAACAACTCACTTTTCTTGCCCAGAAGCAAGAGAGGTGCTGGTTTATAATTTCTGGTACAGAGGGGTGAGATAGAAAAATATAATAAATTATTCTAACACGAAGGAAAGAATACAAAAAGAAACGTGGAAAATGCAAAGGAGAACCAACAAGTGAGTTCTCCTGGTGGGATCAGAAAAAGCTGCGCATGGAAGACGACATTTAACCCAGGCCAGTGGTCCTCTGCTGTGGCTTCTTGTATTTTCATCACGGAGACTGAGGCAGCCTTGTGAACACGCTCAAGGAGCTGGTTTTCCAATGGGAGCCCTCTTGGCTATGTGGCTATTTCCACCCAAACAACCGCCCTTTCTGGCCCTCTCTTCTCACCTTATCTGGCTGTCTGGATCCATAGCATTAAAAGTTCCCAACAGGGTCCCAGGTCCAGCGTCCTCCTCTTTACTGACAATGAAGCTCTGGGGGTGAAAGGCTGGTGGGTCATTGGCATCTGCCACCTGCACACTCACAGTGGCACTTGCTGTGGCCTTCTTTGGCAGCTGAAGCTTTCCCCTCTCACAGAAGAAGAGCTGCTCCTCATTGTCCACGGCAATGACGAGGCTTTGCACTGCGCGAGTCTCATAATCCAAAGGCGGGAACCCCAGAGAAAGAATTTCATTAGCACCTGCTGCCCCTCTAGCCAGAGGAAGCCCGGCACAGAGTCATCATGGCGAACTCAAAGCCTGTGGATTTTACACTTCATTTATTATTTACATTGTCTTTGATAATGATCAAAAAGACAGTCTTCAGCTCATTTTCAAATCATTTATGGAGTTCTTTTCTCTTTTATTTTTCCCTCCTCCTCTTCTGGCTGAAAAGAGCCACCATCCTTGAGAGAGTAATGAAAAATGCAACAAAAACCGTCGCCTAATGAAACATGAATGAGACAACCATGCTGTAAAACAAAAAAATCAGGGGAGCTTAGGGAAATATGGATATTAATGATCACAGTCATTCGGGTACAAAGTGGCCAGTTGACTTAAAAGGATGGAGGGGCTGGGAGTATTTTGAAATTCAACCCCCCGCATCTGGTGGAGCATCTGTCGAGTCTTGTTATTCACAGCACGGTCTGTAGGCCATTGGCATCCCCTGGTTAAGGGAGTACCAGGATCTCGGGCCCTGCCCCAGACCCACTGGCTCAGGTCTGCCTTGTCCCCAGGTGACTCACCTGCACCGCACTGCACTAGAAGCCCTGGTCACTCTAGGTCTGGCTGTGAGCAACGAAGACTAGAGGTACTGGGGTCAGACTGCCCCGGGGGATCCTCCACTCCACCACTCTCGAGCTGTGTGGCTTTGTGTAAAAGACCTAGCCCCTCTGGGCTTTGGTTTCCTAATCAGTAGAGTGAGATGGTAACATGAATACTTTCTTCCAGGCCAGCTTCTCCACTAGGCACAGTACCAGAGGCTCTCCATACTCTTAGGGGCCACACAAAAGCACCCCCATTTCTTTTAAACTTAAAAAATCTTAAACATTGACAACTCAGACAAAAAGAAACAATGATTAAGGTTAAAGAAAATGTTTTCATTTTTTAAATCACATCTGAAAAGGAATAATCATTCTAAGGCCAATGTAAATCTATTATATTTTGCCTAAAACAACAAAAAATTAAATGGTGAAGTATTTAGTCATATCAAAAAAGTTTTATTATTGATATTATTTTGGGAGGAGGAATGCTCAGCCTACACACAGAAGTGGCACTGAGACCCTGCCTTCCTTGCCAGGTGATACACGGTACGTAATGGGCTCAGCACACAGCATCCATGGTGTTAGCTCCTAGTTCATTACAAGTGATCCTACAGAAGGGGCCTCAGCATCTGCCACCACCTGGTTCACATGTCACTGCTATGATGTTACCTTGATAACATGTAATACCCCTTTGTTGGTCTCAGGGTCAGTCGAAATGTCAAAATGTCCCTCCTCATTGCCACGCAAGATGTTGAACTTGACTCTCCAAGCTGATGTAAATGGAGAATCTCGATCTTGAACCAGGAGACGCAGCACGCCCTGGCTGACTCGGCCTTCAGGAATCTGAACCTTATACTGAAAGAGGCAATCATCATGTCCATGTCATGGAGAGAAACACAATTGAAAAGGAAAGCAGAGAGGAAGGGGAGAGAGAGATGCGGAGAGAGCCAGAGAGGCAAGGAGAAAGAAAACGTAGCTCCTCAGCACAGCACCTTGGATAGTCCTCACGCTGCTGAACCTGGCCTACCTGTTACAGCAGAAGGTGCATCCATTAGAATATCTGCCCCCTCCTACCTGTGACTTGCTGAATAATTTTAAAGTACTCTTAAATCTAACTCAATGCACTATTTTTTTCCAAGACTTTTACAAATGATAGTATGCAATCCTAGTTTATGCTCTCCAAAAACCGTAGCTCTTCCCATAAAATAGGACACTGTGGTTTATTCAGATTAAGGTGATCATTTTTCTTACACACATAGATCTTCAAAATGACTTGTTATTCAATATTTTTGGAGACAATGTTTCTAGATGAGCACTTCAAAATAACAGGGTGTATTTTTTTCCAGCTGTATTTTTGAGAGCATGGCTTTTTACCAAGCCAGGAAAAGATTTTGAAACAAGGTTCAAACATAACATAGTTTCGTACTTATTATATGCTTCTGGCGAGGTGCTTTGGTTTGCAAACATTTCACTTTGGTTTATAGGGTTTTTGTAATATTAAACGACACCTTTTAAAAATCATTGTTTGCATCGTTTATTCAACAACAGCTACTGTGTGCCACATTCCATTTCAGACGCCATGAGCAAGACAGGCAACAATTCCAACCTTGGGAAGCTGAGAGCTGAGTGTGTGTGTGTGTGTGTGTGTGTGTGTGTGTGCGCGCGCGCGCACACATGCGCGTGCCTGTGTGCATGTGTGTGCGCATGCATGTGTGTAACAGGGGTTCATACAATAAATGAAATTAAGTGATTAAGTAGAACACTACTAAGAAGAAAAAAGCACAAAAGGGCTCAAGAGTGTCCCAGAAAAGAAATGGGAGGGTTTTACCTGGGTAGTGAAGAAAGGCCTCACTGAGAGAGTCAGGACAAAGAAGAAAACATGGTCGATATTTACTCTTTAAAAGTACATAGGGAATAGTAAAAAATAAAAGATTGGAAATAGATCTTGGGCGATTCTTATTTTCTCTTTTAGCCATCTCACATGCCTTTAAGTGGAGCATCAGTCCCAAACCGTCTTACACAGTGGTTTTCAACACTTTCTTAAAGGCTAGATGTCTTGCAGCCTGGAAAATCCCATGTGGACCCTGACATACAAACCAGCTGAGGTGGGAAGGCGAGGCCAAAGCCAGCCTGCTCACCTTCCCCTCTAGGATCCTGAATACGCTGTGAAAACCTCAGGTGCAGACTTCTCACCCACGGGTGATTCTTCTCCCTGAGAGACATTTGGCTATGTGTAGTGACATTTTTGGTGGTCACAGCTGAGAAGTGCTACTGACTTCTACGGAGTAGAGGCCAGGGATGCTGGTGAACATCCTGCACATGCAGAGCAGCCCCCACTCCAAATCATAATCCGGCCCAGTGTCAAAAGGGCTGAGCATAGGAACCCCTGACTTCAAGTAAACAGGAGTTCTCTGTCTTCCCGAGGCCTCAGTTTTCCCATCTTTAAAACAGAAATCATGTCATAGTTTCAACAATCAAAAATGTAAAAACACATGTAAAAGCTCTCAGCATAGTTTCTGGCATAGGTCCGTCAAACATGTCAGCCCATGTGACCATTACGAAGTGCTTCTATGTCAGTATGATTTGGCTTCTTGATTCTAGCGTAAGTCACTTTTGAGAACTGCACATATCTTGGGTAACTCCCTGATATCGTTTGGATATTTGTCCCTGCCCAAATCTCATGTTGAAATGTGATCCCCAGTGTTGGAGGTGGGGCCTGGTGGGAAGTGTCTGGATCATGGGGGCAGGTCCCTCATGAATAGCTCCAGCCATCCCCTTGGTGATAAGGGAGCTCCCGTCCTGAGCTCACATGAGATCTGGCCATTTAAGAGTGTGCGGCACCTCTTATCTCTCTTGTTCCTCATTCTCCCACCCGCTGTGTGTTACTTGCTCCTGCTGTCACCAAGTGATATGCCTGCTCCCCCTTCTCCTTCCGCCATGATCATAGACTTCCTGAGGCTTCCCTAGAAGCTGAGCCAGCACCATGCTTCCTGTACAGCCTGCAGAACCATGAGCCAATTAAATTTCTTTTCTTTATAAATTACTCAGTCTCAGGTATTTCTTTATAGCAATATGATAACAGTCTAACAGCCTCCCCCCCACCCCGAGGAAAACTGAGCCTAGGACCCAAGGGCTACTTGTGTTGGGGCTTAGACATCGGGGCAGCCCAGGTGGCTCACGTTCTCCTGGGTAAATGCGGGCCTGTGGTTGTTGCCTTCCTGCACGTCCACATGAACGGTGGCCGTGGATGACAGTGATGGTTCTCCACAGTCCCTGGCTCTGATTAGCAGTGTAAACTGAGGAGCAGTCTATATGGGAAGGAAAAGGAAAGTTAAGCCCCTTGAATACAGGAAAGGAAAATATTAATAAAGAAATATTGTTTTACCAATTTCAATAGCAAATCCAGTCACAGAGGGTTCCCCACTACAAATGTAGAATCTAAGCCTGGGGCTCAAGGATGGGTCACACATTTCATTTTAAAAAATAATAAAATCCGCATAATCTCATAACCTAAGTATCCGGAGAGTCATATTTCTCCACTAACATGATCAACCCGGAAACCACTTTCTTTCAGTAGTGGTGTTTGAGAAACAAGGAAGTAAAGGACTTGAGAATTTGGAGTGTTTTCTTCATCCAAATCAACTGCTAACATCTGAAAAATAGGTTGACCTAGAAAGAATTTTTAAAAATTGTTACTATCAGAGAAAGGTAGCCCATCAAATCAGTAAGAGGATGAATTATTTGCTAAATGGCATTGGGGCATATGCTAAGATGAATGAAATGTTTAAATATAAAATAAACTATGAACATACTAGAAAAGATAAGGATGAATTTTAATTAGCTATAAGATCATGACTGCCAATGCAGAAGAGTTACAGGACAAAATTGGTAGATCAGATTACATTTTTAAATGTCTGGCAAAAAACTATAGACAAAATATAAAAGAAAATGATAAAGCAGAAAAATACGTTTGAAACACACATGGCAGGCAGATATTCTTAATATAGACTGCTGAGGTTAAAATAAGAAAAATGACAAATGCACTAACAGAAAAATGAAGAAAAGAAAGGAAAAAGCCACTGATAGAACATGGAAATGGCCAAGGAATATATCAAAATGTTCAAGCACATGTTATCCGATAGCAGCAACACACCAGGCTCCTTCGTGGATTGCAGGCAGGTGAGCAAATGAGGACCCTTACATTGTATGTGCAGCACGAACCAGCAAGTCTATGTGTCGGAATTCATGCTAAGTAAATAATGCTTCATTGGGAAATAGATATAGCTTAAGTTTTATCATTTAAATATATTTTATAAAAGTAACAGAAAGTGGCAAAAACATAAATTTTCAACAATAAGAGATCAGTCAAATACTTTAAAGCACATCCATAAAATATTACACAAAGGGTATTTTAGAAAAATATCAAGTTACAAGCAGTAAAATTACATCTTTAGAGAGGAAATTTATAAATATGCACATGTAAAAAAGCACACAGAATATGTGTAAATATATAAATATTTACTATATACACATATACAATGTATACTATGATAAAGATAAAAAAATGTATATACAAATATTAAAAATGTATGCACATACAAAAAAGTATGTATATACAAATACAAAAAAATACGCATTTGTAATTATACATAAAATTCTTTTGTATAATTTACAAATACAAAAAATATTCATTTGTAATTATATTACACATGTATATAAGTTTAACATATAGTGTGTGTATATACACACAGAAAATGCAAAGAACATGCTGAAAGAATACAAACTAAAACGTTAATGGTACTCATCTCTCATGGGTAGTATTAAAGATGCTTTCTTTTCAGTCTTTTCATTTCCTGGAATTTTTTGGAGAGATGATTATACCAAAAAATGGTTTTTGTTATTAAAAATAGATCCACATTCTAGTTAAGAGTAGATTGGGTTTTAAAATGCACAGTATCTGTATGTAACTCGGAGGCTTTAGATGTGATCGTGTTGCCATTTCTCAGACAAAAAATTTGCAGAGCTATGCAGAAGCTCATCACCCAGCTCTTTTTCCCTCACTGCATGTGGCTTTATTTTTAGAATGCCATTTACATATCAGCTCTTCCCAGTGATGCAATTCAACATCATTTTATTACCAATACAAAACGAGGCTTACAGACCTCAAAGCATTTCGCTCCGATCCGGGGCTGCGACCTTTGAGATGTGAACAGTGAAAACTCTCCCTGAAGACGACTAGGATCAAGCTCCTCATCAATCTTAAGGAAGTGAAACAGAGCAGAGACAGAAGGAAGCCCGGCAGCCCCTCAACTGCACACACCTGCAGACTGGCTTTCTTGCACAATGATGTTAAATTCCTTCTCTGGAAACTGGGGTGCATGATTATTCACATCACTGATCCTAATGTTGAAAATCAAGGATTTATCCACAATTTTTCCTGTAGAGTGATCCGCAACATCAAAACAAACCTAGGAAGCAGAGAGCTGTAAAAATGCTGTAGAACAATTTACTTGATGATGCTCTAATCAAATAACTGTTATCCTAACTATGTATTTACATCTGTCTCCTTCTCTAGGCTGAGCTCCAGAGGGCAGGAATCAGACTGCCCTCATTCACCATGTACCCCAGAGACCAAGCACAGTACTGGCGCAGACTAGGTGTTCAGTAAGTGTGTAGACCAAGCCAATGCTCTGGCAAGGAAAAAAATTATCAGTTGTTATTAGGTTCAGATCTCAGTCTCTCCACTGGGTAAACACATGCAGGTTGCTAGTGATCCTCCGTTTCTACAATCTATCAGTATTGTCATGGGAAATAAATATATTAATTGAATATTACTGAAATATCACAGAGAGCAAACACTTAAAGGTTTTTGGGAAAGTGAACATTTACAGTAACTAGCACAGCTGTTGACATGCTAGGTTGTTAAACGGTCACTGCAGTTACTTCTGTACTTGGATAGAAAAGTCAGAAAATATGCATGTGTGAAGTCTTTTACTTCAAAAGGTCTCAAATCAATAGTTTAAGCTTCTGCCTTAAGAAATTTTTTAAAGAGATCATATAAACCCAAACAAACCAAAAGTGATAATAAAGGTAAAAAGCATATATCAATGAAATGGAAAACAACCAAACAATAGAGAAAGTCATGTAACCAAAAGAGATTCTTGGAAATGATCAATAAAATGAATAAACCTCAAGAAGGACTGATAAGGGAAAAGAAGGAAGAGGGGAGAATTATCAATAACACGAATGAAAGAAAGGCTATCACTAAAGATTCTACATATATTAGAAGAATAAGGACTAATATGACCAAGTTTATGTGAATGAATTCAGCAACTTTAAAATGGACCAAATTCTTGATAAGAAAAACGATCAAAATTTTCTCAAGAAGAAATAGAAAATCTGGATAGTCCTATATATATATATATATATATATACATTTTTTAAAGTGGAATTTGTAGTTTAAAATTTTTTGAGAAATAAAAACAAAAACCTCCAGGCCCAGATGACTTCAATGTTAAATTCTAGCAAAATATGAAAGAAGAAGTACGAATTCAGCAGTCTCTTTCAAAAAATATAAAAGGTAAAAAGACTTTTCAACAGATTACATGAGACTCACATTACCATAATACCAAGTCAAATTTCTATGAATTACAAGGAAAACTACAGAACAATATCTCTCATGAATCTACAGTTAAAAATCCTCAACAAAATACTAATAAATAGTATTCAGAAACATTAAAAGGATAGTACAGCATGACCAAATGAGGTTTATCCTGAGAATTTTAGACTGATACAACTTTTGAAAATCAATTTCAGCAATGTCACAAGATATAAAGGTAATCGATAAAAATCAACTACATTTCTATAAACCAGCAATGAAAAATTAAAAAACAATTTAAAAACAGCCCCATTTACAAATCTAAAATATGTACAGGATCTGTTTACTGAAAACTTTAAAACACTGATGAAAGAAATCAAAGAAGACTTAATTGAATGAAAAGATATATTGTGTTTATAAACTGAAAGATTCAGTATTGCTAAGATGACAGTTCTTTCCAAATTGATCTATAAAGTCAGCACAATCCCAATCAAAAGACTAGTGGAATATTTTAAAGATATCAACAAGCTGATCTGAAAATTATAAGGAAAGGTAAAAAAATTCGAATACCCAAAGTCATTTTGAAAAGAAAAACAAAGAACTCACATTAGAGGACTCACACTAAGTCATTTCAAGATTTATTATAAAAAATACAGTAATCCAGAGAGTATAGTATTGATGAAAAGATAAATATATACATCACTGAAACAGAATAGAGAGTGCAGAAAATGGCCCACACAGTATGGTTGATTGATTTTTTAGAATATACAAAGGCTAGCCTTTTCAACACATGATGCTGAAAAAATTAGATGTCCATATGCNAAAAAAAAAAAAAAAAAAAAAAAAAAAAAAAAAAAAAAAAAAGAACCTGGGTCTTTATCTCTTACTTTAGACAAAAGTTAACTCAAAACGGATCACAGACCTACATGTAAAACAGAAAACTATAAAACTTTTAGTAAAAGAAGAAAATCTTGATGACAATGTGTTAGATACAGTACCAAAAGAAGGGAAAATATTGATGAATTGGATTTTATCAAAATGTAATAACTCTTGCTCTGTAAGAAATGCTGTTAAAAGAATGAAAAGACAATTGCCTGAGAGAAAATATTTGCATATCATATGCTGACAAAGCATTTGTATTCAAAACTCAGTAAGAAAACAAACAATACATGGCTGGGCGTGGTGGCTCACACCTATAATCCCAGCGTTTTGGGAGCCAAAGCAGGTGGATCACCTGAGATCGGGAGTTCAAGACCAGCCTGGCCAACATGGTGAAACCCTGTCTCTACTAAAAAAAATTACAAAAATTAGTCAAGCATGGTGGTAGGCACCTACAATCCCAGCTACTCGGTAGGCTGCGGCAGGAGAATTGCTTGAACCTGGGAGGTGGAGGTTGCAGTGAGCTGAGATTGCACCACTGCACTCCAGCCTGGGAGACAAGACAGAATCTCCATCTAAGAAAGAAAGAGAGGGGAGGGGAGGGGAGGGGAGGGAGAAAGGAAGGAAGAAAGAAGAGAGAGAGAGAGAGAGAGAAGTTGAGTTATTCTGAGAAATGGTTTGGGAATTGCTTATCAAGTTAAACATACACTTACGTGTTCCAACAAAGCCACTCCTAGGTATCTACCTAAAATAAATGAAAACTGATCTTCACATAAAAACCATATATGGGCCAGGTGCAGTGAATCCCAGCAATTTGGGAGGCTGAAGCGGGTGGATCATCTGAGGTCAGGAGTTTGAGACCATCCTAGCCAGCATGGTGAAACCCCGTCTCTAATAAAATACAAAAATTAGCCAGGTGTGGTGGTAATCCCAGCTACTTGGGAGACTGAGGCAGGAGAATTGCTTGATCCTGGTGGGTGGGGATTGCAGTGAGCTGAGATTGCACCATTGCTCTCCAGCCTGGGGGACAAGAGCAAAACTCCATCTCAAAAAAACAGAGAGAGCGTGTGTGTGTGTGTGTGTATGTGTGTGTGTGTGTGTGTGTGTGTGTGTGTGTGTGTGTGTAGCTGCTTTATCATCACCAAAAAGGAAAAGCATCCAAGACTCCTTTAGTTTTCTAAAGTGAGAGGTAAGAAACTACTCAGCAATAAAACAGAACAAACTCTTAATGCACATAACAGCATGGATGAATATCAGAGACCTTATGCTGGGTGAAAAAAACCTAGACTTAAAAAGCCATGTATTGTGTGATTCCATCTCTATGATGTTCTAAACAAGGTAAATGTATTGAGATGGAAAAGAAATGAATGGTTTCCAGGGGTTAAGGGCTGAAGGAGGGTTTGTCAAAACTCTTAGAACTATGCATTAAGATGTATAAATTTTACTGTACATGAATTTTTAAAATAAATTTTTAAAAGTAAAATACACACAAATTTGGAAGGAATAAAGGCAGTTAAGGGTTCTTAGGTCAATGTATTGTCAAAGAAATTATTAAAAACTTTATATAAAATCTAATAAGTAAAGAATGAACGTTGTAATTTCTCTGTAATTTTTTTATCTGTCTATGGAATTAGATCAAAGGGAAAAGTTGTGGGTGGGACGGGATTCTTCATATATTGCTTGAATTTTTATAAGAAGCCCTTATTAATTTTATAAGTAAAAAGTAAATGTAGGGCCAGGTGTAGTGGCTCACGCCTCTAATCCCAGCACTTTGGGAGGCCAAAGTGGGTGGATCACCTGAGGTCAGGAGTTCAAGACCAGCCTGGCCAACATGGTGAAACCCCTTCTCTACAAAAATTAACCATGCATGATGGCGGGTGCCTGTAATCCCAGCTACTCTGGAGACTTGCTTGAACCTGGGATGGGGAATTTGCAGTGAGCTGAGATCATGCCATTGCACTCTAGCTTGGGCAACAGAGCAAGACTCCTACTCCAAAAAAAAAGTAAATATAAATAATAGGAACTCTCATTTATTGCTGGTGAGAATGCAAAATGGTGCAGCCATTCTGGGAGACAGTGTAGCAGTTTCTTACAAAACTAAACATACTCTTGCTACACAACCCAGCAATCACCCTCCCAAACGTGTTGAATATGTACGTGCACCCGACAACCTGCACACACGTTTACGGCAGCGCTATTCATGATTGTCAAAATGCAGAAGCTACCAAAATGTTTTCCAGTAGGCAAATGGGTACATAAGCTGCATCCATCCATAGAATGGAATATTATACAATGAAAAAAACGCATGGGGGAACTTTAAATGGATATTGCCAAGTGAAGGAAGCCAGTCTGAAAAGGCTACATAGTGTATGATTCCAAGTATGTAACCTTCTGGAAAAGGCAAACGCTGGGAGACAGTAAAAAGACCAGTGGTTGCCAGGGGTGTTGGGGGTGGGGAAGGGGGAATGGGCAGAGCCCAGAGAATTTTTAGAGTGGTGGAAGCATTCCTTACGACACTGTAGTGGTGGACACATGGTGTCGCACATTTGTCAACACCCATAAAAGGTAAGCTGCTAAGAGTGAACCCTAATGTAAACTGTGGGTTTTGGTTAATAGTAATGTAAAATACTGGCTCAACAATCACAGCAAATGCGGCGCACTTCTGCAAAATGTTCATAACAGGAATGTGAAGGGAGGGGGTGGGGTAGAGGGGAAGATGGGGTAGGGGGAGGAGATCAATGCTTTCTGTTCTGTGCTTCTGTCAATCTAAAGCTGCTCTAAAAAATAAAGCTCCTTAATTTGAAAACTACATCCCTACTTACAAAATAAATATATATATCTGAATAAAATATATATAAGCTATAATAAAATACATACATGTGTATTTTAAATAAATATACTTTAAATAAATATAATTAATTTAAATAAATTATACTTTAAATAAATATACTTTTTTTTTTTTTTTTTTGAGACGGAGTTTTGCTCTTGTTA